AGAGTCGTGCGGCAGGCGGTGGGTATGTCTTCGCGGCCGGTAGCCGTGTTGTTAATGTTACAGACAGGACCCGCGCAATTGACCGCTGCATTCAAAGGTCAATAGCGCGGGTCCTATCGAGCTGGCAGATGCCTATTATGTCTGTAATCACCGTACTCCGTTTACTAGTTAACGAGAGACTATAGTTGATGCCATTCCTGGTGATGTTGCGCATCATTGCGTGCCATTCCTGGTGATAAGCATACCTCATTGTCGAAATTAACGCGGATTTCCACTCAGCCTGGTCGAATGATGGTGGATTTACACATTGGCTGGAGTTGGGCTTTGCCGTGCGAATTATCCTGAATTATCAGCCCATTACAATACTGGAGGTTGTTATCCGAACAGTATGCGGATATTGGTGTGTCGGCCAATGAAACGTCAGTATTGAGGACTCTGATTGGTGCATCGCTAATTTACAGTTACAGCAGACTGTACAGTAGTAGTTACTTCAATGTACTCGATAAATTCATAAATATTGCAAAGATAGTATTTTTAATTTGCTACATAAAGTAAAAAGAGAAAAAAAGGGGGACTGCCAAAACCTCCGCAAAGACCCTTTTTGAAGTATTTATCATCCGGATAAGCCCTCATTTTTAATCATGATGACAAGCTGCTTCACGCACTTGGAGGGGTGACAATCTTGCATCCAGCGAGCTTCAGTCGACAAACAAAACTGCAAAACAAAGTAAAATTGCTGCATTAGATTATGCAGCAAAAATGCGAGTGACCCGTAGCAAATTGGTAAGACGGTTTTGACCTCTCCGCAATTTGCGGTATTATAAATCGAAAAATGTCTCAGTTGTGAGCAGTACCGGTAGCAAAAATAGTGCATATATGCGGAGGTTTTGGCAGTCCCCCAATGTAGCCAATCAGCGAGTAGTAATTTCAGATTGACCAATGGGAGCGATTCGTGATCGGCTTGGTCGGCGTGATATTCGATTGGACGGGGTCCGGAAATTCGTACCAAATCAAAAATATGAAGTACTGCTTAGGGCCCGTCTGGATACCACTGTTATTGAGAAATATCGCGATAATTTTGCAAAATATTCAAGAATCTCAGCGACTTCAATTTGGCGTGTCTGGATGCCATTTCTTGACCAAGTTATATTCCATAATTTTATCAGAAATATCGTGAAAACCACAAGAAATAATATTCTACTCATGAGTAGAATATTTTGACGATATTGA